CTTGTTTTTTTTTATATCACATTTTCCCATCACTTTCATAGTAGAGCAATCACCCAAGCTCACGGTAGAATGAAAATTTTCATTTAAATATGAGAAAGAGGACTTACTTCCACTCATGGGATTACTAGAGTCAGTATCTACATACCAAATTTCTGCCCATTGTCTTTTGCATCTTCAACTTCCATCAACAAGATTTCTACTTCTTTCTCCTCGATAAAATTTGAACTTTCCCCCATTTTTTTTAAGATTAGGTAGTCTAGTATAAAATTTAGAAGCATAGTGACCAAATTTATGACATCTAAATCATTCTATTATGATCTCTCCCTCTATCATTGCCTTGAAATTGGTCATTGTTTCCTTTAGAGTTCTTGTTGAAATCTCTATTTCCATGACCTCCATGCCCTCTTCCTCTACCTCTACCTCTACCCGTTCCTCTAGAGTTGTTTGAAGGAGCATTGGTAGAAGCCTTTAATGCTTGTTCCTTCATTGTTGAAATTTTTTTCATCTTTTCTTCATGGACCAACAAAGAAATTTGAAGCTCATCTAGGGAGAGATCATCAATATCAGTTGACTCTTCGATTGAGCACACCACATAATCAAACTTTGGTGTTAATGAGCGTAGGATTTTTTCAACAATGGCTATATCATTCATTTTTTTAGCATGAAATTGCATATTGTTAGCTATACCCATGGTCCTTGAAATAATAGTCAATTATAGACTCACCTTCCTTCATTTGAAGGACTTCAAAGTCTCTTCTCAAAGCTTGAAGTTGAGCATGTTTAACTCTCGAGGAGCCTTGATATTTCTTTTTCATTGAATCCCAAATATCATTAGAAGTATCTTTACAAAGAATAGTTTCAAGCATAGATCAATCAATGGCTTGAAACAAATAATTCTTGCCTTTCAAGTCTTTCAATTTCATCACATCAAGCTCCTTTTGTTGGGCATCTGTAAGAGTTGCACCATCCCTTGGTGTTGCCACACAATCTGCAACAACCTGTCAGAACTCCTTGGGTCTCAAGAGATTCTTCATTAGCATGCTCTAATGGTCGTAGTGACCATCAAAACATGGAATGGCTGGCTGCATAAAAATTTTAGATGTCATTGGTGGGATAATTTTTCTCTTCTCTCCTTTTTTTTACACTCTTAGACTACTGTCTTTCTCTTAACCTATCTCTTGATACCACTGATAAAAATCGAGAAAAGAAGATATGAAAAGGTGGTTCTTTTATTCAGAATAGTAAGATCCATCTTAAAGGTAACAATTACATAATTATATTAAATTCATCATAAAGTAAAATAGCTCAAAAGTTGTATCTGTCATTGCAGTAAAGTGATACACTTATTAACCAATAAAATAGAGTTACAAAACATAACATATCAACATTGCTTTGTCATCACATTGTTGTGCTCTGCTTCCATGCTTGGCTCTCAAATCTATTTCATTTTCCATCGCGAACATTACAAATCTAGAAAAGATTAAGGTTGTTTTGTTGGTAATGGTAGTTGATGGTGATGTCATTATCATAGTGATCGATGACGATGTTGGAGGAAATGAGTTATAAGAGTCAAAAAGAAAAAATGAAACGTTGCAGCCAAAAATTGCCTCTAGTAGCAATTTATAGTGGTGAAAGTGATTGGGAAGTGGAAGTGAAAGAGTAGTACTATAATGTGAAGGACACATTATAACAAATTGTTAATTAGATTATTTTAAAAGTTAATATTTATTGTGCATGGTGGACCACATATAATGGTAGTCCACTATGAATTGCGTCTTAATACATACATTCATGTTTAAACTATTGAATGTGTAAACTATGGGTGTGTTTAGATAAATTTTTTCAAAAACACTTCTAGGAGGAAAAAATAAGAAAGATAAATGAAATGTTTCTCCATAAGTTAAAATTAGTTTATTCATAAATTAATTTGTAAAAAATTTTATATAGCTTCTCCAAAATATTACAAATAAGTTTATGCATAAGCTAGTTTTAACTTATAGAGAAATTTATTTCATTTTTTTCTTTATATTTTTTCCTTCCAAAAAAAGTGTTTTTTTTTTTGGAGAAATTTATCCAAATCCTAATTATTTGAATTTAATAATTGATTCAAGTCTTAAACATGTATTTGTATTAAATATTAGGAGGAAAATTTTGCTATCTATAATTAATAATCATATATTATTAAAAAAATTCTTTTATTAAATATTGTGCTCTATTTTACATCTTAATTCAAGTTCATTATCAAAGTTTGTTCACGATACTTTGTGGAACCATCTGTTGCATTGAGACAACTCCTCTAGGATTCCAAACCAATTGGAATATATTAAAAACTATTTTTTCCAAACAAAAATTTTATATTCTTTTACGAGTTTTCTAAGTATCACTTTAATGCAACACAACTTTAAGAAAGTATAATGAGTCATTGGTTTTAATAGGAGTGTTGGCAATGCATTTTGATTTTTCTTTAAAAGTCATTCGAACAAAAAAAAAATTGTAGTTCGATTTAGTTTAGTTTAAATAAATTATGAAATCTGAATAAAAAAAAGTCAATCTTTTATAATTTTATTTGGTTCAATTTTTGGGTTTTAAAAATTAACCAAAAATATTTCATATTTATGTTATTTATTTAAAATCGTATGTATAAAAATAAAACTAAAAATATGCAAATGCTGAAATATTTAAATTACTTAATATATTTAATACTAATTCTTATCTTATTATTTTAGTAAAAATATTTCTTTAATATAATTTTAGTTATCGTATTAAATATTTTTTCTCAAATATAATTTGTCACTTAAAAAATTTATTTTTGAATGTTGTAAATAAATCATAAATTTTAGCAGCTTACAATTTTATAAAATATTTTTTAAATATTATAACATATATTTGGAGAGAAAAACATCTTTTACTAGCTTACAATTTTATAAAGCCTTTTATATTATGTGTTAATTTGTATACATGTATTATGCATTTGAAAGAAAAATATATATTTACAAATACGAACAATTTGATTTGATTTAGAGTGGTTTGAAATTTTAATAAAAAAATAAAACTAAATGATAAAGTTTTTAGATATTTAAAATTTAAACTGAATCACTAATTTATGATTTTCTATGGATTTTCAGTTTTTTATTTTTTTTAATTCAATTTACAATATTTGTTTAAATTGATTCATATATGAACATTCGTAGATTTTAGGTCGTAACGAGTAACGTTAGCATGCATTTTGGTTAGCTAGCGTTGGAGTGAACGTAAACGTGACACTTTGAAGTTGTGACAGCTTGTTGGCGTGTTCAACGTTCCGTTCCTTGTGCCGTCCAAAGCCACTTCCCAAAAACAAAAGCTTGCTGCCAAACAAATTCATTTTTACCTTGCCCGCAACAAACTTCTTTTAACTCTTTTTTTTTTTTTTTTTTTTCGTCCCTGGAGTATCCACCGCTGACAGCAGTGACTAATCTCCTCGCTACGTTAGAGGCACCTCAAAAGGTGGGATAGCTGGCCCCAAGATTTAACGCAGCTGCATACACAAGGCAGGATTCGAATCCCTGACCTTGTTTAACTCTAATTCTTTTTTTTCTTTTTCTAATTATTATTTCTTATTGATATTCTAATTTATAGGAGTTTATCTTATTCCAGAAATGGTGCCAATGCCTCTGTCAATAAAGAACAGAAACATATTCATCACTTTACATGCATGGAATGATGGAACACTAACCCTTTTTGCCTTTATGTTTAACCCAAGTCTTATAATTTAATTAAATTTGTTGTTTAATTCGATATGATGTTAATTATGTGTTTTCTTCAAATATAATCTTACTAAAAGGAGAAATAATAGTATATAAAATTTCAAACTGAAAACATAAATGATAATGTTATAGTTTAGAGCTTTAGGATTAGCCTTCAAACTGAAAGATATGGGGTTGAAAATAGAAATTAAAAAATCTAAATTTAATCTTCGTCCCATTTTTGTAATCCTTTTTATAGAAAATTAAAAAAGATTGATAAGAGATAAATAAATTATATTATATTATATTATATTATATTATATATATGAAAAGTTATCAATAGAAGTGGTTCCACGTTTATATATTCTTTAATTAAATACTAAGATTCAATCATCGATTTAACCACAAAATATCAAGTGAAATGTACCACTTTAATCCTAAATGGGACCATTTGGTAGGGGTGAAAACAAGTTAGATTTTGATAAATTTAAACTTAACTTACAACCAAATTATTAAGCTCTGACTCTTATTTGTTTCCTTGTTAGATGTTTTTTTTAAGGCATGAGTTGAGCTACATAAAAATCTAACTTGCCTTGAAAATTTTGTTTACCTGATTTGTTTTATACAAGAAATAAGTATACCTGTAGGCCTAAGTAGGCTAATAGGCTTTAAATATTAAATATACTATAATTATATATTATTAATAATAATTATACATATATTAAATATAAATATTCATTATTAAATTAATATATAGTATTACTATTTTAAATAAACATGTCTATTAGTCCTATTAAACTTATCTAAAAGTTGAAAGCTCGATTTTTCAGTTAAAAAAATTTAATAAAAAGTTAAAATATGATTTTTTAATAAATAAGTAAAGTCCCAAGTCCCCTAATATGTCGTGAGCCCCATTTCCAACCTTAATTATAAAAAAATACTAAAAATTATAAATAAACGAGAAATTATATTTTTAATTTGTACGTTATAATTGTAGATAAAACTGAGAAGTGATGTTTTGAAATACTGACCCATTATTGTTTTAACCTTGAGTGGTCCTTCAATTTTTTTTATTTTTCTGTTTTGGTGTTGTTATTTTATTTTGGGGGTCCAGCTTATATTTTTATTTTGGGAGGTTAGATGAGTTATGAATACAACAAAAAAGGCCATAACTTTTGGGCCACCAGCAGGTACTGAACTCATGTTTTGCAAATAGCGATACATAATAATAATAAATAAATAAATAAAAACTCAATTTGGTGAAAACAGAAGCCATTAACACAACACTTAAAAATATATTAAACTACTATACTACAACGACATTATTGTTCATTTACATTACCTACATAGAAAATCATACCCCTGCAAGAAAGAAAAACAATAATCAAAATGCAAAGTATGAATTAACTTACGGTTTTAGCACATTGTAGAGATGAAATAAATTTTGCCACTCTTTACATTCCAAATTACACCATAGGTTGGGTGTTTTATGGTTGTTAATCAATTAGTATAATGGCCAATTTAACTTGTTGATCTCTTAACATAGTTTGAAGGCTAATCATAATCATCTCTTGATGATAGTGGTGGAGTGGTGCCACCATGCAGTTGCATTGTGACATTTCTTGATGATAGTTGAAGCAAGTCAATGGTGAGGCCATCTTCAGTGCAACCTTGGAAGATCCCTTCTGCCATTTCAAAATTGACAATTTCATTACTATCTGATATGAGTATGGGATGACTGAGATCAAGAGGAGTTCCATCCGCAGATGGAAACTTATCTGACACCCCACTTGAATCCTGTGAACTTATTCCCATCATCTTTTCAGAAACCTCACTCATGCTGTAGTGCCTATGGCTTGAAGAGTTCTGGGATTGAGATGACAGAAGAGAGAGAGCACAGCCAGAGTCAGAAATTCCTGATAATTCTGTATCAAAAACATTCAAGTCCTCACTTCCTAAGCAAGTGTCATGGAATACTAATTGTGACCCGGAATTTTGGCCACCAAGGGAAGGTGGATGATGATATTGGTTGTTGTTTTTGTTAAGAAATTGCACTTGTTTTTCGGTGTATGAAGGGAATAGAGATCTTGATTGAGGATGTCCATTGGTAATAGGAATGGAAGAAAGTGGCTTAAAAGTAAAACCATTGGTGTCTTCAGCTTCTATAGGTCTCCACCAGTTACTTGCTCCATATTTCTCAGAAGACAAGACCCCACTGGGGAGTATTTCTTGGCAGATAAAGGATGATGTTAGCATTGTTTCCTGGAATCTGCTATCTGCAAGAACAATGCATTAGATTTCATTTTAATGATAATAAGAAGAGTTAGTGATTGGACATAAACAGACAACTTTATTCTCAGAACAAAATTAATGTACCACTCAAGCATGATTATGTATATAGTGAATTTAAATCATTTCTGAAGGAAATGATACCAATATTCTCTTTGAGGAAGTCACTTATGGTTATGGTTCACATTCACCATGGGACCAAAGAATCCAAAGTAAAGCTACAGATAACACGAAAAATGACAACAGATAAAGATTGGCACAAAATCAACACATGTGGGAGAATATAAGAGGAAAATAAACATTCAGATAAAATGACAACTGTTAAAGACTGGTACTAAAGCAGCAAATGCTGTAAATGTACATCCAGTGTCAATCAGCATTCAAAAAGCACTATAGCTTTTTTTTGGTGGTGGGGGTTGAGAATATGAACACATACATGAATATATCACTTTAAAAATATTTAAAAATGAAAATAGTAAAACAAATGTGCTACAGAGTTCCCCAGAAACATCTCAAATTTGAGAAGTTACAAAATTGAACATAATTTGATTCATTTTCTTTGATTATGTATAATAGAGAAAGCCTTTGAAAAGGGTAAAACAAACTAAGGGAACCAACTTTATTACGCCAAGCTTCTATAGGCATGTTTGTATTATCATCCAGTTCCATTCAATGCAAAAGTTATATAAGAGTGAAATTACGTTGAACGTGCTTTGGAATTTAGGAACAGAGTAAAACAAACACGCACTATATCTGGATCTTATCTTTTGTAATCAAGCAGTCAAACATGAGCTGTGAAGGATTAGTAAGTTATAGCAATTCAATAATCCTCTAATTTTGAACTTGAGCAAATATGATGGAAAAGTAATCAACAAGGAAAGCAATAGATGCATACGCATCTTCATGTGATTCCAGGAAGGATGAAAATTTCAAAGGGAAAGAGT